TTGATCCAGTAGCAGCATGACGTGGATCGACCTTAACAAAAGGTGACTGCAGAGTTTTCGATGGCTTTTGTGCTCTCTTCACAAGTAGTCCAGATGATGGTGGTGCAAGTGTATCTTCCTGAATAAAAAATATAAAAACAATGTTTCTTAAATTAGTGTATGACAATAAATCTGAATTTATAATAGTAAAACACTAAATTTTTCATTAAACTGACATCTTTACAATGAAGTTCAGTAGACTCCAACACACGTGCAATAGCCTCATCAACCTGATCCTGCACTTCTTTACTGGCAAAAAATGTATCATCAGAGCTTTTAGGTGTCTGTGAGGAGCAAACTCCTAGATCAAATGAAGGAGATTCAAGAACATAGTCATCATGAACATGTGAAAACTCAGGTGCCATGTGACCCTTGTCCACTTTTTCAGCCACATCATCACCTTTTGCTTGGGTTCTATGTGAACATTGTCACTTTTTTCAACAATATCATCACCTTTTGGCTCAGGTTCCATGTGACCCTTACCCTTTTTGTCAACATCATCAGCATCTTTTGGCACTTGTTCCTTCAAAACATCTTTACCACTCAACTTCTTATGAAGTTCATCCATCACCGAAGATAAAATGTCAGAAACAGATTCAACAAAATTTTTAAGAGACAACCTGATGTCACTCAAGCTATCTTTCAACACATTGTGACTCTGAATGATCTCATTGAGCTTCAAAGAATTGTTTGATTGACGCATATTTACATTCATCTTAGAGAGTTCTGACTTCATCGACATAAGCTCCTCTTTTAACCCCTTGTTCTCCGCTTGGAGCTTGGTTATTTCCTTATCAATCAACTGCTTCAGTCGACCACATTCCTGATAAATTTTGTAGTTAGTGAAATTGTATATAAAATGTGTTCTGAAGTGAAAAGACAATGATATTACTTACCTCAACACATGAGCAATCTGGATGGTAGGCAGCACTTTGCTGATCGCGAGAGCTAGAGCCAGCAGCCCCCATTTGTTTATATAGCGAAGGGTCTACAAAATCTGAATCTTCAACGTCTACCTTCGACAGCAGGGGAGTTGCCTCACTTGTGCCCAATTGATTTCTAGAGATCCTAACATTCCGAGTTGGTTGTCTAGGCTTTGAGTACTGCACATCTACCGATCATACACAACATATATAAGAATGAAGAAAGTCACAAGAAACAAGTCACATGTTTCACATCACAAGCTTAAGAGACATGTGACTTTACAAAACACGATATTCATACTTCAGGTCACAATCGTATGAAGAAAATCACATATCACACGTTTCCGATCACATTCACAAGTCACAAGTCGCATAAGAGCAAAGTAAGTCACAAGGCACAAGCCACAACATACATAAGGACAAAGAGAGTCACAGGTCACAAGTTACATGTTTCAGGTCACAGTCATAAAACATATGTCACTTTACAAATAGGATATTCATACTTCAGGTCACAAATCATATTTCGTATCATAATAAATGTGAAGTTCATATTTAAAACCTATCATATATGGCATTGTGAGCTCAACTTCAGATGGATCAATGTCATTTATCACAACCTGTTTCACATAAGATGAAAAAATACTGAGCATATGCCATTTCAAAATTTATATAATCAACCAAATGATTACATAACAATTTAAATGTATTTAAAACCTTACATTCTCATTTCCAAATACTTTGTCCTCCAACATTGACACTGAAGGATGTTTGTGCGCAGTCCAATTAATAATGCGTGGATATTTCTTATAAATTCTTGTGGCCACATTTCTCTCAAGTGCAGGTATGTACTCATATAACCACACCTGGAAAGCCACTAAAAAACCTATCAATCTATAGTGACTAGTTTGTTTTGATAGTCCCTTTTTTAGCGACAATAAGGTGGTCTCAAACAAATATCTACCCCAAGGAAATGTTTCAAGAGTGGCAAAATCGTCTACAAGTGCAAATATGTATTGATCCACCACCTTCGGGTAGGATGTAGCAAATAAGTATGAGGTGATGAGATAGATAATTCCAATCTTAATAACGTCAAGGTCTGGTGCATCATCAAGTGAAATAAAAACCCTCTTGATATCTTCACTTGTAACAACTTTTAAGTCCTTAAAATATGCGTCCTTCACTGAAGACGGTTTTTCATCTAACATTGGTCGACCATCGACCCCATCATACCTCAATCCCGTAACCAAACAAAATTCAGCAATTGAAAAACGAATATATCTCCCATTTACATTAAACCACATCTCTTGCTTGTTCGGTTGCTTGACCTCCCTAGTAAAACTTGGTGAATCAATTGTGGCTGCACAACTATCTCCCTACAATGCATGTAGTAGGATAAACATGTGTTTTCTAGAATTGCCCTCTGCGCAGCCTTAAATTTCATCACAAAGTGCGTAATCACACTCTGTATTTGCGTTGTGGTGATTTTTCCAGAAAACCAATTCCTTGGTTTTATTCAGTATTTCCAGTCCTGCACAATCGTAAAATAAAAAATGTTACTCTGACCTTCAACACACAAACATTTCGCTGTGACCAACTCATTGAGTTGGTCTCACATTTCTAAAATCATAACACAAAGAAGTAAAAAGTCACAACACCTATTTCATTCGCAAACAATCCAGCACTCTTTAAAAAATACATTCGATTAAAATAAATAGTAATTGATCACACAGTACAAGTTACAAACTATTCAAACAGGTCACAAAATGATATTTCCTACACAAAATACCCACATCAGGTCACAAACTACTCAAATAATATGTCACAAGTTTCAGAAATTAGGTCACAAAATCGGAGTTCACCTTTTTCATGAGTTTCCCGCCAGATCATAAAATAGTTGGTCACAAATTTTCCAAAATCATAGCACAAACAAGTAGAAAGTTACAATCACGCAATACATAAAATAAGTCACAAAACCTTCAAATTACAAAATACCTAAAACAGATCACAAAATTATATTTCCTGCGCAGAATACCCAAATCAGGTCACAAACTATTCAAATAATAGGTCACAAAATCGGAGTTCACCTTCTTCATGGGTTTCCCGCCAGAGGATGACATTTTAACTCTCTTTGCTGAAGAAGAATATCTTTCAACATATTTCCTCTTTCCTTTATCCTTCTCCATCATTTTCGCACCAACACTACGAGTTTTTGTCATTCCAAACACAACTATTGTTGAAACTAAAATTTAATAAACTATTGTGCGGTTTGTAGTAGTGGAGAAATGGAGTGGGAGGTTACTTTACTGTATTAGAGAGAGAGAAGAGAAGAGAGAGAGAGAGCAACGTCGTATTCCTGGTAGAGATAGAGAGAAGAAGAGAGAGAAGAACGTGGTTTCTTTCTGCACTGCACTGTACTGTAGAGAGAGAGAGGGGGTTTATGGTAAAATGCGAAGGACGTGGTTTGGATAATCAGTGATTACGTGCAGAAGTATTATGAAAACTGTGTAATTCAGATATAAAGGGTCCAGATTTCATCACGTAAATGAACAATTAGTTTATAATTATTATTAATTTTAAAATAAATAATTAACACCTGATTTTAGAAAATTAAACCTAATCACCCTAGTTTTGAAATGTAAAGTTTATAAGTATGGTTTTGCGTTATTTTTCCATATATATATATATATATATATATATATATATATTTATCGCTTTGTGGATGCTTTAAATTGTTATTTGAAATATTGTCATTCTAGATATCATGACATATGGATTTATTTGTGATATCACTCGTGATACTATAAATAGAATGCATATCATGGAACACCGATTTTCCTTTGATTAATTGAATTTAAATTAATTTTTTTTGGAAGGAAATTCTTAATAATCAAACTGTAAATTAATTTGATTGATGTGAACGGTTGATAAATATTTTAATTTTCCTTGATTAACTTAATTTAGATTAAATTTTTCTTGCATTGAAAAATTATAATAATTAGACTGTATATTAATTTAGTTAATATGAACAAAATATAATTATTTAAATTTTCCGTGATCAATTTAATTTAGATTAAATTTTTCTGGATGGAAAATTCGTAATAATTATAATTTATATTAATTTAATTAATGTGAACAATTGGTAATTATTTATTATTAAAACCTATTACTTTAAAATACTGAGTGGGAATGAGTGTTTATTTAAATAAAAACTCATGGTCTCCTTTGATCAATTCATAAGCAAAGTAGCGCGCTTGTCTCGTGCCGGTAATGCAACGGACTCCCTATAGGAGGGTTGCGTAGTTCAAGTTGCTTGATTGGATTCATTTATGGTAAGATCGTCTAGATAAGATTATGATTTGTGATTATCCTATAGATGATGAAATTAGTTTCAAGTATCTAGAGATCTAGACAAAGGTTATATACTCAAATCGAGATCATCTATGAACCTCCTATAGAGGCTCTCGTTTATGATCTTGGTGACCAAATAAAATGATGCTAAGCTTAATGTAAACATTTGTTGTTAGATATATTTTGTCTAGTGGTAGCGTCTTAGCTTGATCGGTGGACACATTGGCATTTCATATACAGAGGCATGTTGGATCACAAGAATCAAGTCATCATTGCATTATTGTGGTTAAGTGGATCTACATGTACATTCATGCATCTTATGCTAAACTATTATTTGCTGCTCAATTTTAATATGCAATGTATTATTATTTTTATGTGAAATATCACTTGGCCAATTCTTCCGTTATTCTGAAGCAAAGCCAACTAATTGGGAAAAATAATATGGATTGGAAACGTAACAGCTCAATGCGGAATAACTTAATTTTATGCTTAACGGATGTCCTGTTGGACCTACTAAAGCCATGTGACAAGTCCAAAAAGGCTCGGTATGTTGAGTGAGAGACAGTAGACAAGAGGTCTAGTTGTTTTCATTTTGACTTCGATGTCAAATGTGTTACAATAAAGACTTGAAAATCAAAGTATCTGCCATTACATACTAGAGACCCTTTAGGGCATGTTTGGTCATCAAAGTAGGACTATTCTTTTGAGTCCATATGTATCTTTTAGAAAATCCATATAAAATCCAGAGTGCTTGTGAAGTTTCATAGTTTAACTATGATTGCATACTTCAAACATTGCTAAGAGTCTAGAAACCATCTATCAAGGATATTTAGTCTTTGACATGGTATTGAATTCTTTACTTGATAATTTCTCATAGTTTACTATGAATTATCCTTGGACAAAATGAAGATACCATTGACTAAGTAAATGATAGAAGTATATGAGGAAAGTGATCTTAATAGTACAATGGGGATGCTGATACATCATTTGGTGGCTCCTCTAGTTCCAAGCCAAAATGCATATTTGGAAAGAAGATGAATAAAGCTACCAATAAGCATGAGAGCAACAAAATATTAAAAGTAGATGGAAAGCCTTAAGGCAAGTGCTCCAATTACGATTGAAAAGGACACTGGAGAAAGACTGCCCAGATGCACCAGCTAAAAGGTAAAGTGCATGTGAGGTTTTTAATTACTGAGTATTGTTTAGTGCTTAATACTACAAACTTCTGAGTTGCAATTTTTGGAACCACTAATTACATCTGCTTGTTGACGCGGGTGCTTCAGGAAAGCAGAAACTCAGGTAATGCCAATTTAAAATTATCGTTGACACAAGAGCAAGAGTTTCAGCAAGAGCATAGGAGTATTTTATCTCAATTGTGATAAGTGTTTAATTCTTAAGGACTATTATATGTCCCGTGAATGAAGCAGAAATTTGTTTGTTGTTTTCGATTTAATAGAAAAAAGTTATTCTATAAAATCAGCATTTGATACGCTTAGCATTTTAATAAATAAAGTTCCTATTTGAGTTGGACATTTGATTAATGGTCTTTATATTTTAACCTATTCCACATATGAAATAAAAGGTTACTCTTGTACACCATAAAATGTCGCACCATACTAGTAATACATACCTATGGCGTCTTGGACAAATCAACCTTAACAGAATATTAACTGACTAGAGATGGTTCTTTCAACTCGGTTAAGATCGAACTATTGATAGTTTTTGAGTTTTGTTTAGAAGGCAATATGACAAGACCAAGACATTCTTTTTCAATACAAAGGATAGAGTCGAAAGTGTATTGAAACTAGTGCATTGATATGTGTGGACTTGTGAATACACTTGAGAGGGAGAACTATGAGTATTTCTTTATAGATGATTATTCTTGATTCAAATACATTTACCTAATGTCTTGAAAGTCAAATACTTTTGAGAAATCAAAAGAGTACAAGACTAAGGTTGAAAAACATTTAGGTAAGAGTATTAACACACTTCAATCAGATCGAGGTGGTGAAAACCTCTCAAAAGAATTCAGGGACACTTAACAGAAAATATTACTGTTTCTTAATTGAATAAGCATGATATACCCAAAAGGAATGATTTTTCAGAAAGAAGAAACACAACATTGTTAGATATGGTTGGATCAATAAAGAGTTTTACAACTCTACCTATCTCATTTTGGGATATACAATGAAAACATTTTGATATATTAACTTAGTTCTTTCTAAGTCCGTTCTCAAGATTCTTCTGAAATTTTGAAAAGGATTCAAGTCCTGCTTGCATGACAACCAAGATTTGGGGGTCCAGCTTATGTGCTGAAAGAGAAGGCAGAAAAGTTGGAGTATAGATTAGAGATGTACCTGTTTGTGGGATATCCTAAAGATACCAAATGGATAATTTTTATAGTCCTTAATGGCATCACTTAATGGTATGCAAGCATTGATAAAAATATTATGTTCCAATGACGCCACAATCATAGATCAATTGTCCCTTAAACAAAATCGGAAGATTATCAATTCACCTTCAAGGTACTTGTTGAGTGGAGAGTCTAATATGGTGGTCTCCATGGTACAAATTGACTATCTGACTTCATAAAAGGAAGTTGTGGATGATGTGGATGCAGGGATCTATTTATGAATCGAAACAGACATCGAGATTTTGGATAGAGATTTGACAAAGTGATTAAGATATTTGATTTTAATCAGAACTTTGGTGAATCCTGTATCTATAAGAAGATACAAGACAAAATTGTATTTTTCCCTAGTGCTTATGTAGATGATATTCTACTCATTAAAAAAAATGTGAGCGTGTTATTCTTTGCGAAAGCATCGTTGGCCCAACAGTTTCAAATGAAGGACTTAGTAAAGCTAGTTATGTTCTAGGTTTCAGATCTTGAAAGATTGGAACAACAAGATGATAGTTTTTGCACTAAGTCTTATACGTTGGCAATATACTTGTCAAATAAACTATGCAAGATTTTGCCCATAGGCATCGAATCCACCTCTTTAAGGATCAGTCCGCGAAGACTGCTAAAAAGATTGAGCACATGAGTGGGATATCTTATGAGTTTGTAGTAGGTAGTCTCCTGTATGCTATGCTGTGCAATGGACTTGACATTTTTCATACCGTTGGTGTGGTGAGTTGAGATCTATTTAACCTTAGGATCGAAACATTGAATGGTGATAAAGCATATCTTTTAGTACCTCCGAAGAACAAGGAATTACATGCTCATCGCTAGATCTTAGTTTGATAGATTAAAATGATTCGGACCTCTAGAATGATGAAGACTGTCATAAGTCTACATCGGTATCGTTTACATTTGATGGTGGGGCCATTATTTGGAGAAATATCAAGTAATCATGCATTGCTGGTTCCACTATTGATTTCAAGTATGTGGCAATTTATGAAGCTACCAAATTGGCTATAGGATTTAGAAATCCTAATGGACATCGAGGTGGTGCTTGCATCTGCACATGTCTTTACACTGTATTAGGATAGCAGTTGGATTGTGACAAATGTTAAAGAACCATGAGTCATCAAAGCGATAAACATATTGAACGGAAATATCATCTCTTAAGAGAGATAATTGGTAGAGAAAATGTGGTTGTCAGTAAAATTGCTACTATGATAATTTTGTAGACTCGTTTATTAAGAGCCTATTGGCTAAGTTTTCGAGGGACATTTGCAAGATACAAGGTTGCAAGACATGACACATATACTCTAGGGCAAGTGGGAGATTTGTTGGGTTGTGTGCCCATATAGTATATTTTGCTATGATAAAATAATCATTTATTATAAATAAATTGTGGATTTATTTATTTATTGTATTATTTATTAT